TTTTTTATTTTTTATTTTTATAAAAGCTTCCCTCTTTCTGTCCCATTTATAAATGATTAAGCTAAAATTACTGATTTAAACCTTACCGATGCATATTTATTTTTTATGATTGATACAAAAAAAATGTATATGGTGTTAATAACGAAACATTCGAAACTTTTGTATAATCTTTGGAATGATTATATCAGGTTCTACTCGAATATTATATATACTTGTTTACTACAGATTTAATTAACACTTCTAATTAAGAAAAAACTCTTAAAAATGTTTTTAAAATACAACGATTTGACATTGCATCGCAGATCAAAAGATTCTCCACCCAAACTGGACACTAAATTCTTCTATCATAGTTAATAATCTTGAGTTTAGTTTGAATACTCGAAATTATAATATGTTAGTTGTTGATATTTTATTTTCATAAATTTTTCAATGAAACGACACGTGAGAATTATATTAATATTCTACTCCACACGTGTAAGTCAATTTTTTCAGCCCTTCCCCCCTCTAATTTGGTCAGACAATGTTTCGTTTGGCAAACCTCGTTTTTTTTTCAACGAGTTCTKTTTGTTCTCGTTCGGCAATCAATAATAATTAYTAATTAGTCCGTATACGGTTTATTCGATACTAMTAATAATAATAATAATAATGATCATGTGAGGTTCCGTAAGATTGAATCTAATTTTAATGCCAACAGTATGTATACAATGTGTTTCTGGTACAATATCGTTTATTGATTTCTGAAGTCGGTTAAAAAAAAATTGTTTTAAATGAAAATCTACCGTGAAACTCTGGTTGATATATGTGCTCCACGTGCAGCAGTCTGTTATACGCGTATATCAAATATTTGTGCGCACTGTGCACGACGGATAGTTTTAATTTTCAAGGCCGATAATAATATATTAGTCGTGAAAAAAAATGATAAGAAATGCACACGAGCGTCTGTACTCGTGTGGATTGCCGCTTGTTTGAGGAATCGCGTGTGGCTCTTTTTCGACGGGATCATCGTATGATATATTATAAATTTATAACATATAATTGTGTATTAAATAACACTTTTAAGACAGTCGGCTCTTTATTTACATATTTCACTCCCAGAAAGTCATCGACCCGCGTCTATACAAAACCGTATTCAAAATAATATTATGTCTTTCGTGTGTAATTTTGTCGCGTATGAAAATTCTTTCATTGTGTGACATCTATTCAGAAATAATTCATTAGACCGACATTTTTTGATTAAAATATCCCGTCAAAAATGTAATCGAATTTAGAAACATAACAAATATAATAATAATAATAATATAACAGTACATAATATTATATTATACACGCGCATTACTGTCATATATTGTGTTGATTTTAATTTACCATTATTCATTAATATAAGTTTCAAGTAACAATGATATGCATTTTAACAATCGTGGGCTATTTATAAAACAATCACAAGATAATATTATTTATTTACGTAATAGATTATATACGATTTATACGTAATGAAGAACTCGACAACTTGGCTACAGTTTCGATTGTATTTGATATTGACAGATTGTGATAAACAAAATTAAAAAAAAAAAAACATAGATAGGTATACCATTCATATTGTGTTTTATTATAATATATAGTTTTCATACTTTGACGAGTTATCATTCGGATATTAAAATATTAAATTACCTTCATAAAATCTGTAACATGTCAACATTATTTTAATCCTACCATAATAACAAACGTAATTTTTACATTATGGTACCATATTATAGTGCCGACACAGTCAAATTTAACGTAGGCATCACTGATATTATGACTAAATTACGCATGCATAGAATATGTATAGTTGTATCAATTATTTGGATGTTTAATCAAGAAATAGATAATAATATTAAAAAAAAAAAAAAATGTATCCTGATGATTTTTCAGAAAATTTTCTTCTTTTTCTTATTACTAATGTAGGTACTTATATGAATTAAATGTATACGTACAATTGAAACTGTTTGACTATAACATGATGTCTTATGATTATAAAATGTTTGAGAGTGTATCGCAACTGAACTGCATATACGTCGATTCACGTAAAATAACTACTTACTCGTACATTAAACATATACATATTTATAAAATTATGGAAAATTATATACAATTCAAAGATATATCATATAATAAATTGTATATTATCTGTTATGTGAGCTCACTAAATTACTATCTCCGTTCAAAAGAATCGGTGCAGTGTTATTAGATGATAAGATGAAAACGTTTGTCCTACACTTAAGAAGTTTCGTGTCGACTGGTTATACGGAAACGACCGAAAGTCATAACTTCCAAACTAGGTCAAAGTCCTTAACGTTAAACCCGTTTTATTTGAAACTTTTGTACGAAATGACCATGTGTCGCTTTTTATTAAGAAAAATAACAAAGTCATAGATTTCGTCAATATGTTCGTATTAAATTTTAAAATTGTATTAGATATTTAAGTTTTTGTAATGTACCTAATAATTGAATAGCGTAATTTAATGATATAAATATGAATTATAAAAATTCTTACGATTCAAAGGAACGATCAAAACTTTTTAAGAAAATGATTGCTATACAGACTGCAGATTATAGGTTATATTATTATATATTGTTATATTACAGATTATACAAATGAATAGGCGTTTCAATACAATTTACCGGTTATTTTTTTGTTTTATTTTGTTTATCTTTAATATTCACACTGTTTAATACTATAATAAATGCGGGTCCCGTATATTTGATAACGATGTTAAATAATTTTTTATATAATCAACTTTTATAGCTTTCCTCCATT